GCATGAGGTAACCAGTGTTACCAAATGGGGTTTATGTAATCCAGTCAAAAGCAGAGAAGCTTGATGTTTTGTTGGCATGCTCACTCTATTCTGTTAGGCTTTGTGAAAGATTGAGAACAATTCCTGGGTCACCCGCTGCTGACTTCAGGGGCCCCTGGTAGAGCGTCAGTAGCTCGCACCGTGTCTCCCCACCACCTCCATGCACGGGAGCAGTAAGTCAGAAAGAGCTCATGGGGAGGATGGGCATTCTGTACTGCCATAAACGGGAAGAGGTAGGAGAAAACTCCAGGTGACCTTGCATCCTGATTCCCTTAGGATCTGGAAACTTGGTATTTCTTTAGCAGAGTCTCCTCAGAGAAAGAGACGTGGTAGCCAACCCCAAGAGCAGACAATGGAGAGCCATCTTGGTGTTTCTGTGATTGTGCGGCATTACTGGGGAGCAGCCAGCCCCCGCCCCCCCCCCCGGGGTAGCAGTTTGAGCAGGAGGAAAGACCATCCTCCTCTCCCTTTGAAGTCTAGATGAAAAATGCCAGAGCTTTAGGATTCGGGCAGAGAAAATTGATTTGGGAGCAAAAAACAAACAAACAAAAAAGGCTTTCTGCTCTTCCTTTCCTCCCCCTGCCAGTGTTAGGTGTCTCCTTAGAGGAGTCCTATAAGAAAACAGAGCATTGAATATTAAGAGAGAGAACTTGAAAAGCTCTGTGTGTGGGTCTCATTTTTCGAGAATTTGCTTTCAGACAGAAACAAATGGGTCTTTACACACCTTCCCAGGATCCCTGATTTCTTCTTGATAACCTCACCTTCCACATCACAGCCAAGAGAGTGCCCCTGACTCCCCACCCCCAGCCCCAGGGCTTTCGCCCAGCCACCTTGGGAAGGTCAGGAAAATTGGAGTTGCCCTCTGGAGCTAGGGACATAAGACTCAGAACTTAGACCGATCTCTTTTCATTAAGCAGTGCCCTGGCTTAACAAGCAGTTTTATAAATCTGAAGCTGTCTCCGGGTGTCGCAGGATTTATAGACGGGGGTTTCTGCCATAAAGTGGTTTATGATGGCTGCCTTCTGTGTTATTAGTAGCTGTCTCTTCCTTCAACCATTGCTGTTTGATAATAGCCTTAAAACACCCAGAATTACTTACCTGCAAGCCCCATTCCCGATAGCCCCTGTTGACAGTCTGAATAAGTTTACTGCCCTTTTGTTGTACTTTACCTTCAAAACAAACTGATTGAACCATCAATAGCTCGTGGAAGCTGACAGAGGCATGTCATCTGGACTAGCCCTTGTGATTGCAGGTTATCTGGGGGAGTTAACCTTCCCGCATTGTTAACTGAAATGTTTTATGTACTATGCAACTTTAGGATACGGCTGTGATAACCCCGTAACTAAGTAATACATCACGGTAAAGAGATTTTGGTGCAACAAATAACCCTGGATTAAATTTACAAGGGTCAAATTGATATTGTAAAAGCCTTCATTCTGTGGCTTCGGGAATCCTCGGTTGTATTTTTATGGCAAACTTGTATTATACTCAGGATTGAAGCTGCAGCTTTTGACACCCTGACATGACCTAGAACAAAGGGAAATAGATCTCTCAAGACTGGGATGGGACAGGCAGGCAGAAAGCCCATTGACTTACCACTTGGCAATAATGTTTGGAGCTAGTTCCAAACCACCCAGGGGCAGGGAGATCAGGTGGATGTGGCCACCTTTGGAGCGCTGTGTACCACGGACATTGGGGTAGGGCAGACCATGAGCAGAATTGGGAGGGAGATTCTTCACCACCTCACCAACCTCATAATTCCAAAACTATTATGCATTGTGGTGTTATTTTCACTTGGACAGTGGTTTGCGCATGATCCGTGGCATGAGCCACCCCGAGAACTTACTGGAAATGGACACTCCAGGCCCTAGCGGATCAGAAATTCTGGGGTTGGGGGTCCTGTGATCTGTGTTTCAATAAGCCATCCAGGGGATGCTGATGCCCTCTTAAGTTTGAGAGTGACTGTGCTGGAATATAAGCTGCTTGAGAGCAGGGGCCTTGTCTGTTTCACACCTCACCTTATTCTCTGCACCTGGCACGGTTTGTGACAGGTGGTAACAGCTCGCTAATTATTGATTGTGTGAGTGAATATATGAAGCCATCTCTAAGGGAGGAACTTTGGAACCTGGGCTGAGTCTCAGGCTGAATTTTTGGGGGGCAAGCCTTCCTAGTTTCCCGCAGACCTCTCCAAGCACCTACCACCTAGAAACCCAAGGCCAGCCCATCAGGATGGGAGTCAAGACAGCCCTAGTTTCAGGGATGACTGGCAGCCTATTTCATGGGCTGTTTCTTCGATTGTTTAAGATGAGTGCTCTGAAAACAGCAGCTCTTTGTCATCTAAAATTTTTAACTAGCTTAAAAGCCAGCACCTCTCTCTCTCTCCTTTGATTTCAGGGCTGTGATCCAAAGTGGGGCAAAATGACAACGTGCTGTCTGTTGTCATCGTGGTTCCTGCCAGCCCCGTGAAGACATCTTTCATTCCATCATTAAACATTGGCTGATTTTCTAATACTGATGTTTTCTTCACCTGAATATTCATCTTTTCCCACCCTACACTTAGTGGGTGTCTTTACTCCTCTGAGCGTCACTCCTGACATATTGTTTCCGTCTGTAGATGTCTTTATTTGAAAGAATCTGTTGTCATCAAGACTTTGCTGCTATACGCAGAAGATGGAAGTTTTCTCTGACACTGACTGAGGCCAGTGGGAGTTCTGCTGGAGGATAGAAGTTCATTTGAGGCTTCATGAAACTTTCTGATTTTGGATAAGTTTAGAGGGCATTTGGAAAGGCAAGGGAGAGGCTCAGGGAGAAGTTGGAAAGATGATTATAGATTGAGACCAGGGAGGAAGCTGGAAGTAGATAGTCAAATTTCCTGGACCTCAGATGTTGGGGTGGCCACTTCTGGGGAAGAAAAGTATACCTCAAAAGAACTCAGAGTATTTTCACTTTAAGGAGTATTTCAACTAGAAGCCTCTATGCTGTTTTCTCTGGCATTTCAATGATCAGTCAAATCTTTGGGCAAGTATATGGAGGCCACCTGGTGATGTGAGACCATCTTATGAAGGTGGGAGCTGGCCTTGGGAACCCAATGCTCCCGTGAGGAGAGGGGCATGCTATACACCCCAGGTAACATTTGCACTGAGAAAAAGCTCAGTGCTTAAGATTGCTTTAGAGTTTGGTTCTTTGAAGATCACTTTTGATTTCTTGTTTCTCCTCTTTCTCCTCCAGCCATTGGTTTTCAGTCATTCAGTGAGTAATGTTAGGTCCCTTTCTTTGTGCTCCCCAGAATTAGTTTGCACATAACCCCAATCTCAGCACTTAGCTGTGTGGATTTCTAATTTTTCTGTATGAGTCTATCTTCCCCATTATACTGAGAACCCCTTTACGAGTAGAAATCATGTTATAATCACCTCTGTGTACCTAGGGCCTGGCACATGGTAGGTGCTCAAGAAATATTCATACAACTGAAATAAACTGGTATTTTTTTTTTAGTCCATTCTAAAGCTACTTTTTGAGACAATATGAGGGTGAGAAAAATAACGTCCCTGCCTTTAAGAAGCTTATAGGTGAGGACATCAACTGAACACCAATAAAATGATTAAAAAACAACCAAATGTTATATGGTGTGGTGTTCACAGTATATCCTGGGAGTGCAGAGAGGGGAGAAAACAATGTGGTCTGGAGATGCAGAAGAAAAGTTCATGTGGGTTGGGATTTGAAAGATGAGTGAATACTGAAGAGGCTGAATACGGGAAGGAAATGAGAGATTCCTGTGGAGATAATCTATTGCTCTTGACATTGGATACTTACCTCTTCTTCCTAAGCAGGACAGGGTCTAAACAATAGCTCCTTTGAATGATCAAGTGTGGGGGCTCGATGGAAAGCATCTGGGTTGGTAACCGTCCCTGAGGAAAAAGTATAGGCAGGGGTCTGTACCCTTTATGTATTTACTTGTATGTTTATGTACCTATCCCGTGACCACATGGATCTTCTCATCAATTCCAAATATACCTGCCTGAGGACAGTTCATCACACAAGTAGCCATTAGCTTATCCTTGGAGGCCATGATGGACACCAAAGACTCTTTCTGGGGGAATCTGTATTAGTATTTGTTGGGCTATTAAATTAATATCCCCTATAAACTGATTATTCTTGTTTCACCTCAGTAAAAATAATCTTCTCAGTGCCAGTGTGGAAGTAACTCAGGGATGATGAGGAAAATCCTCAAGACCCCTGTTCAGTTCTTCAAGGAAGCATTTCTCAGTTATGTGTGCTCCTTACTTCTATCCCAAAGTCATCCATGTTATTACAACCTCTAGTTTATTGTCCTGGATGGCCAGTCAATGTTTCTTGTCTTAGTTTCAAATTGAAGATTTGTTTTGTTTTGTTTTAAAGATTTTATTTTTAAGTAATCCCTTCACCGATTGTGGGGCTTGAACTCACAACCCTGAAATCAAGAGTCACATGCTCTACTGCCTGAGCCAGCCAGGCTCCCAAAGATTTGCTTTTATCTCAGAAATGAGAGTTACACAGATGACTCATGGGAATGGCAGTGACATAATAGTACAATTAGGTTATAGGTGAGTTTCCCTGAGAACTTTCTGTGTAGCAAAGAAGCCAGGCCCATTTCTAGAGTGGAGGGGCGGGGGGATATACATTGATAGGATCTTCCTGGCTCATTGGGTGTGTGCATTCGTGTGTGTGTGTGTGTGTGTGTGGCTACATTTGAATCAAGAGCAATCATTAGTGTACATTTTTAAGGATTAGTTGTGTGTATAAAATATAATTATTTGGATTTCTGCAGAGTGATCATTCATTATTTGTGAAAAAAAAGAGAAGCAGCACCAAGGTCTAAACTTCTGAAGACCTAATGATATAGATCCCTGAGCATGAGATAAATTGCATGGATCTTTGAGGCCATCACCTACCCTCCTGCATTGTCTCTGACTGTTTTCTTTCAGATGCTTTGTTCTGCACAAGCTGCCCAATTTGAAGTTTCTGGATGCCCGGAAAGTAACCAGACAAGAACGAGAGGAAGCTTTGCTCAGAGGGTCGTTCATGAAGGTGGTGAAGCCCAAGGTAAGCTGCCTACTTTCTGGTCTTCACAAGGGATTTATGTCTTGCCTCACTGGTTATTCTTTGAGCACAGAGGTTGTTCTTCTGTGTTTGGAATGCAGGAGAGATCTCCCATCAGGGTTTTATCCATGGATATACTGTTGACCCATCAAGAAGTAGGACTTCTACAATAAATTGGATCTTCCTGTGATCCAGCTAAGGGGACTTTATTTGTAAGGTGATTTCACCCAGGTGGCTCTTTTACCAATAAAGCAGCACCATACGCAGCCCAATGGTGATGTTCTGAGGGGGAGATTTCAGGTCTCCTTCTTGAAGATGTTTCGTTTACAAGGTGGGGCCTCTGCAGTTCTGTTGCAGAGAAAGAAGAAAGCTTGGGGCATTTACTTTTCCTCAGATGGGTAGGATTCCTCTAGTGATCCGGAGGGAGCTCTCCTGTCTTGGGGCCATAGTGAAGGTAGGGGAGAGTGATTTTCTTCTGTTCATAGGTATGAGGGCTCAATAGCTCTTGGAGATATTATTAGCAGGAAAGGCCATTTTTTTTCTGACAATATGACCTGGCACTAGCATATTTTCCCTACATGCAGCTCTCTAGAGCTCTTGGGAATAGTTTTACTGACCTTTCCTTTATCAGCTGAGTCTGCGTCGAGGCCGTGGAAGTGAATATGGTGTCATCTTAATGACAGCATTGATGAGGCAGGGGAGATGTGGCTTTGAGTCTTGGATTCAGATTCAAAGAGATTTTTAAGGATGTGAAAAATTATCTGTTTGGGAGGAGTTGGGGTCCTTCCATGAAGCCCAAGGCTGAGGAATGGACCAGATGGCCCTTGATGACCCCTTTCAAGGTGCATTACTGCCCCAGGGCCCTGTGGATCTATCTAGTCACTTCCTGTGGGACCCCAGCTTGTGTTTGAAAACACTGGTCCAGAAATCTTGGAGGTCTAGTTTGTCCTCGCTTATTGACTTAGAGCGCCTTGCACATGCATTGGAAATGATTAAGAGGAAAAGAGAAAAAAACAAACAGAACCCAAACAGAAAAAGGAAACCTCTTCCATCAAGTCGCTCGGCTGGCAGCCGGCCTCAGGCCATTTTCTTTCCCTGAATCCATGAGGTGCAACTTATTTCCCGTTATGCTGAATAAAATTGCTAACAGTTGTGGAAATATATGATACAGAGGGTATAATACTGGCAGATAAATGTATTGTTACCTGTTTCAGCATGTGGGAAATTAATTGAGTGATTCGTTTCATAGCTATTAAAGTGTTAACAGTTTTCCTTATAGAGGCACAGATTTGATGTATTGCTCGTGACTGCCTTTAGTTATTCCAGCTTTTGTAATTTTGTTCAAATGAAATAATTTATTTCTTGGCCTCCTTTTTTTTTTTTTTTTTGGTTAAAAGATTCCAGAGGCAGCCGACATCACCAAACAAAGGACAACAAATGAACTGTTTATAATATCTTGGGTTCCTGCCCATTCAACATTTTCCACCTTCATGTACGCATGCCCTTTCTAGGACAGATTGGTATTTCTCCTGCAACCCCTGTTCTTGACAAGGGAAGCTCTGCATTGTCCCAGTAACTCTGAAGGGGCACTAAATACAATACCCACATGTGTGCTCACCACTGCCCTAAAACTCTTTGTATTCAGATCTGTGAGTCCTCACACAACCCCCTGAAATGTAGGAGGAAGGGAGCATTGGCTGACTCTCTAGGTGGGGTAACTGAGGCCTAGAGGTGTTAATTGGGCAACCCAGCTAAGTTAATTGGGCAGCCTGGTTAGTAAGAGCTGGGACTGGAGCTTGACCGGTGTGTTTGACCACAGAAGCCACATCCTTCGACTGGGATCTTACCCCTGGAACCAGTGAGCCACCCATTTTCCCCGTGCATTTCTCTGTTCCAAATAAAAGCCTCCTAAGAAGGCCTAAAGGAAGAAAACAGGTAAAAGCTGCACGGCGCTCTTGGGGTCGAGATGGCAGCCAGGACTGAAATCCCGCCTGGCCTTTGAAAGCAAGTGGGAAGGGCTCCTTAAAATCCAGTAGTAGCCGGCTCTCTGAGTCATGAGCAGCATGAGCAGACATGCTTTTCAAAGCTCCAAATTAGTTTCTAATCAATTATAGAATTAGTTTATGTTTGTGTGATTGACTCCCACATCTTTACTAATGGTGTTAAGCTTAAAAATACCCATTAATTAGTTGAGGAGAGACAAAAGATACTCTGACAAAGCATGGGGATCTTCAGTTGTTATCTTTTTGGAGAGTCACATGATTTCCACACTGGAGAGGACTTCAGAAATCACCTGCCGTGTGCCGTCGTTTGATGGGTGAAGGAACCGAGCGAGGAGGTTGTGTCTGGAGGCCCCCATGGTCTGGTGGAGGCAGAGCTGGGATCAGAACCCAGGGGCCCAGGCTCCCGGTGAAGTGCTGTATCTACGCCCTGGTGCTTCACACGCACAGGACTTACTTCTCTGTGCCCCTGCTTTCACATCACACTGTATGCTTCTCTCCAGTGCCAGGCTGCTCCCCCCCGGCCTGTTCTCAGAGATACGCATTGGTACTTTTCTTGCGGAGAGAGATAATAAACTGGTTAATAAACTGGTGTTAAAAAGGCTGGTTCTCGCCTGCTCACAGTGTGTGCAGACGTCTGTTTGTTCCTGTGCAGGTGTGTATATATGCCCTCGATCTCTGTGTGTGTATACATATGTATGTTGTGGGAGGTCTGTGTACACCCGGAGTCGGCTTTTAAGTGGAGAGCAATTTCCTCCCTGTGAATTGCCGATGCTGTGCTGAGCACGCTTGGTGAAGACCAATTTTTCATCACAGAATCGGAATCTCAAGTTGGCTTCTGTCCTTTCTTAGGCTGCAGTGGCCTGTTGTGCTTATTCAGCAGAATGCTCTGATGGATGATCCAGGAGGCCGTGATTTGGGGAGCAGTTTTCATTTTATTCCTGACATAAAGTGTTTGGGAGAATGGAAAATGCCTCTCCAATCACAGCCCTTCCCTTGGAGGTAGGGAACAGGCAGTCTGGGTGTTCTCGGCTGACGCAAAAGCAAAATCATCCAGGCACTAATAAACCCCCTATGTCACAAAGGTTTGATTTGATACCTGGCAGGCCCTGGCGCTTGAGTGCGAGTTTGCGCTAGCCTTCTCTCGTGATGACACATTTCCTCTTCGTTGCTGCCTTTTGGCTTTTGTTGTTTAAAAGCTGCTTTCTGTCTGAGCTCTGGTTGTCCTATAGAAAGATGCCATCACTCATTAGGGAAGTGATAGCTAATGCTACAATGGACTCTTCTAGGCTGGTGTGTTTGTCTTGTTAGTTAATGGACCTACAGCAACTAGGCTTTGCTCATTTCCTGGAATTTTGAAGAAAAGCTGTATCTTTTTTTGCAAATCTTGGCCAGGGAGTCATGCCCTTGTCCATGCCGAGAGCACCAAGCTAGATGCAGAGAAGGGGGGAGGCCCCCAAAGAAAGCCTTCTGTGATGACCAGACCGTGATCCCCCTTGCCACATCGGGCAACATAAATCAAAGGGGCACGAAGCCTGTCCAGGAGGGCATGCATGGCGGGCACGCCAGCCCTCCACATTAGACAGTTCAAGAATCCGACAGTCAGAATTGCTTAATTATGTCCTGGCTTTGTAATTATTCATCCCTGTTCTGGCAAAGAGCACAGTTGTCATTTCTTTGACATAATTATTTAAAGCTGAGCCCTCTTGTTTACTGGCATGTGTATGAAGTTGACTACCAACTGTATAATCTTCAGAACCTTATAGAAGCAGTGGGGAGAGCAGCTACAGGGACAGCTGGACTGAGAACCACAGCCTGTGTGAGAAAGTGTTTTGACATGTGTACTTTTGCTCATAATTGTGGCCATTCTGTTATAGGTGAGAGAAGGTAATAGTTATGTTTGTGTCAGTGTGTCCTTGAAAATATGTAATGCATGCCTTTATGTGGGCATGCCTGAGTTTCCTATCATGTGTAGTTTGTGTATTTGTGGAGTTTTGTATGGTTTGTATATTTTTGTGTGTGTGTATCTTTGAGGTATTTTTTTCCCGGTGGGGTGGAAGCTGTGTGTGTGTGTGTGTGTGTGTGTGTATGTGTGACAGAAAAGGAGGGAAGGGGAGAAGAGGAGGGAAGGAGAGAGAGGGAGATGTGATGTGTTAAAGGAATAAACTTCTGAGTACATGTACCTTCTGGAAGTCTTTTTTATTCCTAACCTTAAACTGAAAGTTGGAAGTTATTTGGAGTCTGAAGATCACCTCTTTCCATGGCCACACTACACAGTCCTGCTCCTGACATTGGCATTAGGACCCAACTCCCTGGTTTCCTTTAGTTTCCTTCATCTTTGTCTATGTTTTTGGATTGACACACACACACACACACACAAATGGCAACCTAGGATAAAGATAGGGAATGGAAGCATTGGGAAGCCAGATTTTTGTCAGGATGAAACAGTTGCTCATCTATGGAGATGTCAGCTCCATGCGGGTGGGAACTTGTCTGTTTTTATCGCCACCATATCCCCAGTGCCTGGTTTGTAGCAGAGGCTCAGCCAATACTCTTCCGAAGAATAAACTGGGAACAACAGAGCATTTGGGAAGATCCATTGTGAAAGGTGGTCCATTTTTTTAATTGTTTCAATATGATCCTCTGGAAAAGCAGGAAAGGGACCTCTGCCTTAAAAAAAAAAAAAAAGTAATAGCTCGAATCTGTGCGTTGGCAGAAAGGAGAGATTCTGGGTTGCGTATTTGTTTTTCCAAAGGATTTACCCTGGGATTACTTATGATGGCATAACCTACGGCCGCCCTGATCACCGGCTTGGGCTTCTCCAGCAGGTAGTATTGCTGCGGAAGGCAAGGGTGTGATCTGAGCTCATGCTCCATGTCACTGTGCATAGTGTTCTCTGCGTCCTTCTCTCGGAATCCACCTGCTCATATGAGGGCTTGTGGGAAATAAAAACTAGCTTTTCTCAGCAAACATATTGAGGTGCTCCACAAATCTGTGTGTAGTTTAAATGAGATTTTCCTAGTCTTAGCTGCCATTGTATTTTTTTGTCTATACCATAAAAGAGCACTGCCTGGTGACTTGCTTGGTTTCCTTAATGTTTTAAGCCTAGTCGAGTTCTTCCCTATGCCCTCCCTTGTTCTGAAGCACAGTCTGTGTATCTTTTGTACCTTCTGTTGCGCCAGTCTAGCTCAGCTGTAAACGGGTAGCAGGTTATCAGAAACTACCTCTAAATTGATTGCAATGATTAACATTTATTCTATACTGTTTTTAGGAATATATATTTTAGGGGCACCTGGGTGGCTCAGTCGTTAAGCGTCTGCCTTCGGCTCAGGTCATGATCCCAGAATCCTGGGATCAAGCCCCGCATCGGGCTCCCTGCTCTGCGGGGAGCCTGCTTCTCCCTCTCCCACTCCCCCTGCTTGTGTTCCCTCTCTCACTGTCTCTCTCTGTCAAATAAATAAATAAAATCTTAAAAAATAAAAACCCCAAAAACAAGAACAACAAAAAAGGAATATATATTTTATAAAAAGCCAGGGTATGCCTATAAATAAATATTGTAAACCACATATACATGTGGTTAAATAAGTGATAATATATGTTGAAAGTTCTTTACCGTGCCAGACATTCAGAAGAAAACTAAAAATGTCCGTTTATTTTCTGGATATTTCTAATTACCTGAATATGTTAGTGTTTTATGGTTCTTTTCTGTTTTCACACAGATGTTTCTTGTCTACAGACATATTCAGATTCTATTTTCAGTTACTTTATAGTAAATTTTGAAGGGAGGAAAAATTTTAAATTAACTTATTTTTTGGAAGATGCTTGGGCGATGTGTTTGGAAACAACTCCAGAAGCCAACAATTTGCAGTCTGTTTGTTTTTCATTCTTCTTCCTGATTTCACAGTTTGCCACATTCATTTGAGGTGGAGGGGGGACGATTTTATATTTCTCCATTTTTAGCAGCATGGCATCTTGTGTCTCAAGTAAATGCTTTTAGAATACTGTTCTTTGGGGGCAATTTTGGTATGTCTTCATTGCCTTGCTTCTGCATGGCAACCGTCTGAAATCAGAGATAGACAGAAAAGTTGTATCTCCTGCACTCGAGCAAAGCCCTACGGATGGAGAATTGAAATCCACAGCAGGGAGAAGGAAAGTGAAACAGAACTGTTGGTGCTGAAGGCAGCTTCTCAGAGCCTCTTGAGGAAGTCCCTGGGGCCTGGCCAGGTGCTGAGCACAGAGCAGGTGTCACTCTCCATTAGGCCTAGGGCCCCATGAGAGATTGTTCTGTTTCTGTTGGAGTCACTGGCTTTCACTGCATCCCAGTGGCCCAGTTCCACACTATTCCTCTTTTTGGCCTCCCTCCACCATGCTCACTTTTGTCCACAGATATTTAGACACATGCCTAGAGAATCATGGAAGTAAGTGGCACTCTTTAGGGAATTCGATCCCTGGGATACTTCATACAGCCTCTGGAGCTTCACAGTTGGGACGAGTGGGGTAGATTTCACTGTTTATCTAAAATAGTGTATTTCTTTTTACTCCCCTATCCCATTGACTTTGGCCTTGGCCATTGATCTTTTGGCCAGTGGGATGTGAGTGCAAGTGACAACATGTCAATTCTGGGCCTCAGCCTTACATGGTACCGTGTGTTTCCATTCACTCCTCTTGCATGTCTGCCATTTGCTGTGAGAAGAACATGAAATACACATTGAGCAGGCCCGAACCTAACCTGCAGCCTAAAGCAGATCTACCCCAGCCAATCACAGACCTCCGTACAAGAAATAAATTCTTATAAGCCACTAGGATTTTGAGTAGTGTTGCTGCAGGAACCTGACTAATAGGTAGGCCATCCGTCCATACATCCTGCCCTCTGGTCCTTTCCTGGCCACTTGAACCAGGCTCTTAACTAGGACACAGCTTTTTAGTTTTTGGTGTCACAACATCAACTTCTTTAGGCTTTTTGTATGCTTAACTAATTAGGATTGCAAGGTCAGCCTACGGGTTGATCAACTGTCCAGTAGTACATTATTAGATGTATTGACACTTTCCTGATATATGAGTAAAAACAGTGCCTACATGTATTGTGTCCAGTGTTCTAGATATTGTATCAGTGACTTAACAATATTATCCTGAATTTCTTCTTGAACTTGAATCTACAAATGAGGAAACTGATGATCAGAGAATTTACATATATCACCTAAAATTACAGAGCAATGTAGAAGCAGGTTCTTCCTTGGGTCTGCCTAGGCTCCAAAGCTCACACTCTTTCCCCTATGTATATTAAATTTCATTAACAGGCATGAAAATACGATGGGAGGCAGGAGTAAAAGAGTAGGAAGATGAGGATATGGAAGGGAACCAAGGGTAACTTTGTCATTTCCATTTGGACCTTCTGACTACTCCCCATCCCCAACACATTTTGGTAAAATGCATGGTCTTGGCAGAGAATTGTAGGAGCTGGGACACGGAGGGCTCTGTTTTTTAGGCCAAGTTTGCAAGAATGAGGAGGAACCTTAGCAAGGTTTGAAGTGGGAGGAAAATATGGGGAGGTCTCTCCTGGGAGAGGGAATAATAGTGTTCTGTGCACAGCGGGTATGGTAGAAATCTGTGAGAGGCAGCCGCTGGCCTGGGGCTTCCCAGCATTCAGAGTGCCCAGGCCACCATTGGTGCTCAGGTGGCCAGAGAGGTCAAAGAGCTAGGGTTGGGAGCCTTCTCTCTGGGAGTTCAGGGAAGGGTCTGGGTGGTAGCAAGCAGCTCAGGTGCTGGGATGAGAAGGAAGCTGATGGCTGTCAGAGACCCAGCAATAACTCCCCTGGAAATGGCTCCGTGGCTTTCTAAAAAAGTTCTTTGACATTTTCTTACCTCAGAGACCCATGTTGGCTATGGTATAGTTGCTTTAGTTGGAAGG